TTGACTAACACAGAGGGTCGGATTAAAATTCACTAATTTCTTTGGTCCAATACTGAATTTCAATTAAACAATACAGGTATTTGTTCAGTTTGATGAAATTTCCTTCCTTTACATGTGGGCACATTTATGCATATCCCTAATTGCTGCATCTAGCAAGGGAATACTGTGATTTGTCATTTTTTCCTATCTGCATATACTCTGAGAATGAATATTTCAGTATTTTGAGGGGGATTTCTTTCCTCCCAGAAACATTCTAAAGAGTTCACAAACCTTTAACTAACTCCCAAGACTCTTTGGTTTCCATGGAATTCCTCTACTAACAAGGTTAGAACACGTCTCGGGATCAGTGGTTCCACACGACACTGTAAGGTACAGGAACCCTCAGCATCTAAGACAGAAGTCCCAATTGCAAGTGCTATGTGATTCCTGCAGCAAGGAAAAAACTCAAGAATGGGCACATGTATGACAAGTCCAGTTTCTATTTGGGTCGGGATATATCCATTGCCATACCAAGAGCAAAAATGATACTTTGAAAGAGAGCAGCTTTGTGACTTGTAATTCTTCTTCCCTTCTCAAGGGCAAGGCAGCTATTTTTAATCAGAACAAATAATCAGAAGGAACAAAACTGACGGAATGGAAAGTGGTCAGTTGTCAAGGATAAAATAGCATTAAGTGTTGCTCAGTGAAATTGTCAAACATACTAATAAATTCTAACTTGAATGCAAAACAGGACACTACATTTAGTAATTTGGTTACAAAAGAATACCTGTGTCAGTTGCATTTATTTATTTATTTTATCTACAGCATTGCATAAATGATGGCATTTTTTGTTGGCTAGTTCAGATGATAAATAATAAAACAGTTCAGTTAAAAGTAGCATTAAAAATGTGGAAGGAGCGATATTAGGTCCCAAATACTGAACTAAACTATTGCTACAGGTGAAGCTGCAAACCCCTGTGAGCAGACTGTTCCCACCAACAGTTGCATCAGAGTTCACAAGGCTGCTTAGGTGAGTAAGGAATACATGTCACAAACTTGGAATTGTTTGAATTCCTCTAATGCCTAAACATCATCACAGGTTTTCTTCCTTGATTATCTTGACTTGAGCTGATACTATATGAAAATGCAAATCAAATATACAATATACTGGCACATGCCTGTTAGGAGGAAGTTATAATGATGAAAAGTGATTGTTTCTCCTTTTGCATATTCCTGTGTGCACAGGATCACCTTTCACCGATGGTGCTCACACCTTAACTGTACTTCCAAGAATTAGCTTCAATACTATTTACCTTTGTGGAAAATGAATGCATTCAAATGCATATGACAGAAACTAGTAACACTGAAGTTATTACTCTTAGCTAGTCTATTGATTTACAACCAGAAAATGAAGTCTATTATCTTGTCTTTCAAAGAAATAAACACAATAAATATAACATGGTCAATATTGTTTCTGTTTCTATCTTCCTGTTCTCATTTTCCAGCTGATTCAGCAAGAGTTGTACAAGCAATAACCAACAGAACTCAGAGGAAGATGTCTGAGGAACACACCTGAGTTTTCATCTGACTTTTCTTCTCAGAGATTCCTGGCAGAGGTTTTCCTTCAACTTTGTGCATCTGAGACAAATGGAAAAAATTTGCTTTTTCTTTCACAGAGTGACAGCGGTGAAAGGGAAGAGTAGGATGAAATGTTCCAAAGTCAGCTGCAGAAAACAAATTTTAAAAAGGATTGATTCACTATCCCAAGTCAAACCATATCTATTTAATATTCAGTATGATTGATCACAGGTTCCAATATATCTTGTTATAGAAAACAGTGTAATCAACCACAAGATAAAATACCTCAAATTTGATAAATGAGAATGGAAAACTTTGGTTGGAATTATGGAAGGTGCTGCAAACACTGATGAAGGTGAATATTAAGGCAGGTATTCCCATTCTGGTAGAGTTATTGAAAGGGAATAAATTCAGTTACATAGCTCCTCCTGTTACCAGTAGTTATTCAGAGACCAGATCAGAACCATTGCCATTCACGTATGGCTTTCAAATGCTGAGCAGGCTAGGACTATTTTGGGGCTGGGGCTGGAGTGTTTTTATTTCATGTCTTACAAAATAACATATTAGTTTATCTTCTGAAAGTAACAGTGTAACTGCCATCAATTTTGTTTTATAAATATGGTAATCCAAACTACTTTGAGTAATTTGAAGTCTAATGTCTGTTTCCAAATCCTGCAAGATGGCAAGACATGCTGTTAAGTCATTTACGTTTTAACCTGCACTCAACACTGTAACAACCACCCACACCTCATCATTTCTAAAAAAACCCCTCGGTTTATTTCAGGTTCTGTTTGAGTTTCAAAACTAATCGAGGCTGCAGGAACCCAGTTTGGAGGGCTCAGCCCCAGTTTGGGGGGATGAAATCCCAGTGTTCAAAACTGTTTTCTCACTTCAACATGTTGCCTTTAAAGCCCCAAAAGTGTTTAAGGCTTTTTTTACCTCCCAGATCTTTTTTTTTCCTTTCCAAGTGTAAAACTTGGACTTCTGCTAGACATGTATCTTGTGAAGACCTTTAAAAAGATTGGCCATTTACACAGCTCAAATAAGTATCAACAAATAGCTTTTTAAAGTCAGATGTGTTTCATGCATATTTATTCTAGAATGCCCAACATTTCTTTTAAATATGGAAAGTAAGCATGAGTATTTGCACACTCAGAATGAACTAGTTACTCCTTTCCCTAATTCTGGAAGATTGGGATGGGAGTAAAAAAACACCACATGAACTAGTGCTAAAACTAAATTTTATGTGAGAAAAGTTCAATTTCTACTCCTGTGTTTTGGTCTCACCACCAGAACAAATCACATTCTTAGTATATTTATTGTTAGCTGCTATTTATTATTTCTATAATACTGTAAATAATCACAAAGTAATTTATTAGTTTGCTTACAGAATTGTACATAGGCTGCATGGTCATTTGTCGTTCTTTTGTTGCTTTTTTTTCTGGCATCTTTGGAGGCTTTCCAATTCATTAAGAACTGTCTTTCAATTTCTTTAATTTCTTTCCCATCAAGGGATTCTGTCAAAGAGAAGAGAAAATTTTCTGTGGCACAAAAAGTTAACTAGAAGGCTGTACAAAGCTCTTTGTAATGTGTACTGGTTCTGTATCTTTGCTCGCTTCAAATCTTTTCTTTTTCTAGATTTTGCTATAAAAAATACCCACTACAGATTGACATTCATATTCAAGCTGCAAGAGTGAGTTGATATGTCTTAATTACAACAGAAAGCAGCTACTATTTTTATATATTTCAAGGGAAATATATATCTTTCACATTCAGTTAATGTGCAAAACCTTATAGAAAGTTCTGAAGAAAAGCTATGCTCTTACACAAAATATAGATAGATGCAGAAATCCAGGCTGAGAGGGAAACTACATGTCTTGGCAGTCAAGGAATCCTACTGATCATGAAGACAGACACAGAGATTTGGCTCTCTAAGGCTGATTTTACTTACTTACGTGCCATAAAACTTATGCTTTCATGGGTTGCATCTGCATTTTTGAGCCAGACCACACTAAATACCTCCTGTGTCCACAAATTTAGGTTGCTTTAGAGCAGTCCTAAGGCACTGCTATTTTCATTGTGCAGGTTGGCTTTTTGTTCTTCTTAGTGGCCAATATTTTATACTTTTAGAAAAACCAAGTTCTGTAATTACAATTTTAAAGACAATTGCCACCTTTATCCAAAAAAGGAAAAAATGAGCAGATTTTTTAAACTTATTTCTACAGTATGAATATTTAGATATAAATAATAAGTTTCTTCCTTTTATGCTAAAATTATGTCAAAATAATAAGGGAAACTACACCACAGTAAGGTTAAGACTAACAAATACATTCATAATGTAAGTGTAAACTGCTTTTGAGTTTAAGGACAAATGTTATGCAACAAACTCAAACACAGTAAGGTACGATCTGTGCAACTGGCACTGTACAACAAAAACATCTAAGCAACTACTATGGGTTGATTAGGGAGTAGATTCGACTGATCTTTGCAAAGCAGTTTCACAATATCTGGAATATGAAAATGTCTTATTGTTCTGTAATCATCTATTATAAAACAAATGATTACTACTACTTAGAGCAAAATCTAATACATATGAGCCAATTATATGAGTGGTTTTAACTTCGTACATAAATAAAAAATTTGTCATTTGACATCATTATCTATAGCAGTAACTGTTTACATACATACTGCAACTCCAGAACGATTAATGTGTTGGTTATTTTCTAAAAGAGTGGCAGTTATGGGTGGGCTATTGATGTAATTCTCTACCTAAAGTTTGTGACTGTACTACAATCCTGTCCCTGTATTTTGGTTTGTGACAGATGGGGTTTCCTGTGAGCTCCATTCGGCGTAGTTTTGTCCACCTGCTTAATACAACCTCCAAATCCTGTAAGGGATACAAGAACAGAACACTGTAATTATTTTCCCCCTCCACAGTAAAATTCAATAGTAATGTGATTTGTTCAGCCAGGCCCAAATCCTGCACACAGAAATAACTTCAATGAGACTATTCATAAGTATTAATATGCACATTAAGAATATGCATTTTCAAATCAAGTGGTGCATAGCATTCCCTGAGTATGTCATAACTGCACAGCAGAAATGGTGATGCAGTTGGAAGACACTGCGTTTTTAAGGACATGGTAGTGCCAGCTATGGAAAATTACCACTGCAATCCCACTAAGAAGCACCTAAAGCTGACAAATTACCAGCCAAAAAAACTTTTATGATATGGAATGTCTGTTATTGCATCCCCATGACCTCACAGAGCCCTTACAGTATCTGTGCCTGATTAGATTTTGAAAAATGTGTGGAAGAATAAATACTTTACAGATAAAGAACAGACTAAAAAAACCCTAAGAATTCTTCAATCCACAGCAGACTGCCTCTCTCTTTATATATATGTAGAACTGTATTTCACAGGAGAAAAAGTAATCCCTCTCTACATAACTGTGGGTGGTCAGTTATACTATTGGCCCCAATAGCGAAATTTTTGAAATATACCTTTCTCCATCTGGGTTTCTATCTAGTTACCCAAGGGCAGTATGACCCAGATAAAACTTCTCTGTCTTTTAGATACAATAAATTCAAGTTAAAAGCATGCAGAGTTTGGCAGATTGGTCCCTTCTATTCAGACACCCTACTTTCTGAAACACTTTCTTTTCAGAATTTCATCTAGCTGTCATTCTTGAGAGACTTTCCTTGTATGTGTGAAAGGCTTAAGGAGGGATTCAACACAATCTGTGTAAATACAAGAGGAGAGAGAATTTATGTTCTACCATTGTAATAATTTGGAAAAATCTACTAATCATGCTGTGACAGACTCTAAACTGCAAAGTGTGTAGGATTTTGTAGCCTGATGCCAATAATGAAGCAATGTAGGCACTCTCTTGGCTTTGTCGGGTTTAGAAAAAGGCCTGGGTAATGCAAGTAGGGAAAATTCTGGTTTTACAGGCTCTACTCCCTTGGTAGGATATCCTCACGGGAATCGTTGATGGGTTATATGATACATGTCTAGGAAAATCACACGGAAGAGGAAATGGCAGCAGAGCCTCATACCTCCAAATCATATATTTTTTAGTCTGTCAACGATGATGGTGGTATGATCTATCACCTACTGTAATTCAGTCATAAAAATGTCTTTTTAGAAAAATGGAGAGCGAAAGTCTGGTTCTGTTAGGATCAAGACTGATAAAACAATGCAAGAGACTCTGAGGACAAGTCCACATCAAGAAATGTTAGTAACTCTCATAATGTTGCACAGCAGAGCTTAATCAGCATTATCAGAATAGCAATGTGATAACCCTCATAGTTTAGGTGCTAACTCTTATTCACAAACACAATTTAGGGGAAAAATGTTTTAGGCTAGACTTATTATAGCATTTAGCAAGTGTCTTTATTTGTTCTTACCTGAGCGTTCAGACATTATCATTGAAATCTGTAACATGTTCTAGATTTCACCAGAAAGAGTTTTTGCAAGTAATGGTTTTGCAACACAAAGTTGTCTGTTACTGAAATAAAATGCATACAGTTGAACTTTGATGAATGTATACAGAGTCCTGTAGATTTTTGTTAGCTGTTACTTATTTGATAAATGACCCAGAACATGCTTACTCCAGTGTATGTTTATCTAAGAGCACACTAATCCTGTGCTGAAATATGATTACCCTTTCGATACGCTCTAGTTGTTCATTGCCTTCCTGTCTCTAATAAAGTGCTTTCACTTCCCAGCCTTTCAATAAGCTGTACTAAAGGGACCAGACACTCTTCTGGGCAGGCTCCTTTTGATAAATGATCATGTCATGCTATCACTTTGAGGTCTGCTACAAAATACTGACGAGCAAATTATATTCCATTGGGGAGGGGGTAAAGGGGGAAGGGCAAGTGGCTGAGCAGGCAGCTGTAGTGGTGGCAATAACTTCCTTGCCAATTAACGATGGCCATTTAAGAATTGGTATTTGACCAATATGCTCCAGTTGTTATCGGAAACGTCTAGTCCGACTGCCCTAGCTACAGCTACAGACGGCAATTTGTCACCATTTTGATTACCTGTCATAATCTATTTGAGAAAATCTATAACTTTTCTCTTGTTCCTGACTCGATTCTGAAGCCAATGAATTCATCTTTTGTGATATCCTCTTGTCATAATCAATACTGGGCAGAGGTTGAATAAATTAAAGACTTAGGAAACACAGATTTTTTTACAGGTACTTATGGTTATATTTCCTCTGTCTATCCAAATGCTCACAAAAGTCATAATCTTCCCAAAACTAATGTAATTAACAAATAAATTATATTCTGGGTTTTGGGCTTTTTTTTTGTAAACAGGAATAGTTGTGGTGTTTTTGACACAGTGTTTTTAAAAAAATCCCTTAGTATTCCAACCCAAATACACTGCAGCCTACAAGACTTTGTGAACCTGACTAAAGCAAACCAGAAGCTCAATAGGATAAATAAATGAAGTAGCAAGCACTAAAAAACAAAGAAAAGTCAATTCTATTAAAACCAATTATATTCTTGATGACTGACCTAAGACCTGCTTTTTGCATGTGGGAAGTAGTCAGAGTTATTTTGCATGAATTGAGAAAAATTACCTGATTTTTTTCTGTCTACTGTTCAGACCGCATTATATAAACTTCAGTCATGTGAAACAAGGTCATATGCCTTGATGTCTGTTAATTATGCTAACAAAGCCTTGAATTAGCCAGAACCTTAAGTGCTTGAATTTTTTAGCCCCAATTTTCAACTACACTGAAATCAAGGTGGCATTGCTGAAAATCAAGGGAGTATTGGGTTTTCATAAGAAAGTGAAAAGACTGAGAGAAATGTCTAGATATAATTGTACTATTATACAAAACTGAGAGAAGTCTACATAAGAAGATTGTATTTCATTCATTCCTTATGCCTTTCACGTTTTCCTCTGTTATAAAGATCCCATATTACTCCTGCAGCCATCTACCACTGCTGCACAGGTCACTGCTGCTGACCAGCCCTGCTCAGATGTCGATGGCTCCTCTACCACATCTCTTCCCACTGGGGCAAGCAGAGCTGGGTACAGAGCTCTCCAACATGTCCCTGTCATGCAGCACTGCCACGGTCTCTGATCGGTGCCAGACATTCCTGGGGATGTTCTTGATGGAAGTGATGGGAAAGCAGTAATGGAAAAACAGGGGACATAGAACTTTTGGCATGACGATGAGGTATACATCAGAGTTTTGATAACAGAGGGGCGAGAAGGAGGAGGATGGAGACAGCTTGTGTGGGAATGAAAGAGCCTTTGCTGCGTGTAACGAGTTCAGCCAGCAGAACCAATTATGTGTATACAATTGTATAGCCCCCAAATCCTCTCAGCTATCACAGTTGTACAGTAAGCTACACCACAGAATCATGAAATTCAGGGATGCAAAAAGACTTGAAACATAGTAAAAACTTCCTTCAGCTATTTGATTTTTTTGAACAGTCCGTGGCTGTATAAGATTGTTCTCCTGCTAGATGTCCACAGGGAGCTAAAGCCTCTGAGATACAGCTAGAACTGACTGGTTTTGAAACACTTTGCATAGCCTACTGCTTTTTTTCAACAGTTTGTTTTTTATTTATTTAAGAATTTATATTAGTGATAAGTAGAGCCTCCTAAAATGTAATCTCTTAAAACAGTCATTGTAGCTGGGAAGTTAGGTATCTGGTCACATTACACTGTATGTTAGATACATTCAATATGTTTATTACTTTTACAACTCTGAAAAGATACAAATAGAAATACCCTCTCTGCTCCATATATTTCCAAACTTGGAGATTGTCTAGAATACACACAGAAGAGTCACTTTCAAAACATACCAGAGCTTGATCCAAGTGTAACTGATAGCAGCAGCAAATTCAAATGATAACCACACCATTTTCAAAAGCTGTGCCCGTGTCACACAGAAATCTACGTCTAATTGATTTGGGTAAATTTAACTCTGGTCTTTCTGATGATTAAAGAATGAAATCTAACAATGATTAAATAATATATGCACAGTCACTGAATAATGCAGTCTTTGTGTCCTCTCCTTATTCTGTTTCAGAAGATACTGTGTCTCCTCTGAGACACTGCGGATGCTGTCTCCAAACTGGCATCCTCATTCTTAAAAACAACTGATTCTTTGGCTAAGGCAATCATCTTTTAAGATCATCACAACTGAGGTATTTTTTATTTATAAGAAAGAAAGAGCCAATATAAAAATCTCTGTAAAATGTTTTATACAGAGAAAGAATCCATTTCAAAAGGGAAGCTTTGGAGAGACTCCCTGTTTGAAAAAGCTTACGGTAATTTTGATGTAACCAACATATTCAATGTGGTTTTAATTACTCAGCAAAAGCCTATATGAACTGGATTTAGATGTGAATTCAATCACAACTGCCAGCCAGAAACACAGCTGGAAATACAATATATTAATAATTCTCTAGTAAAAAAATTAATGTCGTTCAACATTTTTTAATATTAAAACGTAAGAACATGGAGAGTCTAAATAAAGTATATTTACCTAGATAATTGATGGATTATGCACACAAAATACTGCAATCTCCTCATTAGGAAACAGAACTGCCAAATTCTGTTAAAATTTTGTTAAAAGTATACTAAGTGTACTAAGAAGTAACAAGAATAGTTATTTTAATAATTACTAACCAGTGAAAGCTAACTTTTCTAAGGAAACAGAATGCATCTGCAAACCAGTCATGAACGAGTTTTTTTCAATCAAGGCTTTGTCTTGGTGATTTGGGTTACAATTAAAGCAAATTTATTTTAGTATATTTTAATAAAAATATAAATTTTGACATCCTAGATAAATGCTTCTCCATTTTTAATCTCAATAAGATTTCCAGATGAGAAAAGACAATATGCTTGATAAGACAGAGGTTCAGTAACTGCAGAAGTAAAATTCAGTTTTACTCATATATTTAGTGATGATAAATTTAGATGAATGTGACTAATTTCTTATCACCCGTACTAAACATAACAAATATTTCTTTTAATACCTTCATATGCTGAAGTTGATTGTCAACTGCTCTGAGGTAGGAAAGATTTTCCAAAACTGCGAGATCTTCTAATTCATCAATGTTGTTGTTGCTGATATTCAAGACAGACAAAGATTTCTGAAAGAAGAGCAGAAAAATAAGTATTTTTTTATGTCATGTATGAGTCAAGTTGTAAATTCTTACAGAAAGTTCACTTAACGGAAGAACGTATGAAGCAGAAACATGCAACTACAACTACCACATACTTCACACATTGTTTTATGTTGGCTTTCCATAAAATGCAGTGTATTTTGGTTCTGAAATCAAAACAAAGTAAGATTATTTCTCAATTATTTCAGGAATTCTTAGTAAATACAGAATTTTTCTTTTTCTTTAAGCATGTTCAAATGCTTTACAGAATTCTGCAAGTGCTACTAACTTTACATTTGAGGTATGAAATTGACTGCCTTTTTATAGAATCCTAGAATATTGGGTTGGAAGGAACCTTAGAGATCATGTGGTCCAATCCCCCCTGCCATGAGCAGGCACATCTTTCACTAGACCAGATTGCTCAATGTCCCATCCAACCTGGCCTTGAACTGTGGTTCCAGGGATGAGGCATCCACAGCTTCTCTGGGAAACCTGTGCCAGTGCCTCACCACCCTCACAGTAAAGACTTTCTTCCTAATATCCAATCTAAACCTACTCTCAGTTTAAAGCCATTGTCCCCTGTCCTGTCACTACATGCCCTTGTAAAAAGTTCCTATTCAGCTTTCTTATAAGCCCTGTTTAGGTACTGGAAGGTGCTATAGGTCTCCCCAGAGCCTTCTCTTCTCCAGGCTGAACAACCCCAACTCTCTCAGCCTGTCTCATAGGAGGGGATCTCCAGCCCTCTGATCATCTTTGTGGCCTCCTCTAGACTCGCTCCAACAGGTCTATGACCCTCTTATGTTGGGGGTCCCAAGACTGCATCTGAACTGCATAGAGCTAAAGCCGATATGTGACACCCACACGGTGCCATACTGGCTGGACTATGCTGTTTTTCTTTCAGGATTGATCCTACAAACCTCCTGGTATACATACCTCTGATCCTTGCCCCTTCTTTTGAACAGTACTGAGGACATACTGAAATTTGCCCTTTGTAACAGACAATAGTTACAGAGATCTTTACATTCCAAATAAAAACTAAGTGTGTTTCAGGTGTTTATCTCAGGAAATACTAAATGTAGTTTCGCATAAGAAGAAGAAGTTTATATCTCTAGAAAAGTTGATATCTCAAGAAGTACACATCTCTAGAAAATGAAAAGGGACACCAAATCCAGCAAGTTTAGAATTATAGAAGGTATGGGACTTGCCATTAGTTGGAAAATGTCTCTTTTGGCAGTGTATACAGAAAAAGCAATCCCCTTCAAAAAAATCTAAGCTCTATGTTGCAGACAGAAATTACCAGTATCATCCTGATACACACAGTGCATACTTAGTCTCCCCGGTCAGATTCATGATATTGTCATCATCAAAACATTTGTCTGTGCTACACAGAGAGCTATATGGTCCCATGGTTTTGATTCTTTCATCTCTGACAGCATTAATGTCCAGAAACAGGCAGAAGAAGATGAAGTAAAAAGTGATGTTTTAAAAACTGTCCAAACACTTGGCACTGGATGATAATAATAGAATGCTTTTACATGTAGCCTCCACAGAGATGTTACATGAGCAAGAATGCAAAGTGTTTCTTCAAAACAAAACAAAACCCACATCAAAAGGCCCTAGATAAAAGTCATGAAGAATAAAATGCAAGTGACTCTAGGCCAGGATGCTGAAAATCATGGAAGTGTATGAGTTATTATCCTGGGAAGATTATAGCTATATAACCTCCCTCTACTTTGATCATTTCTCCAATAAGGAAGGAACAAAGGACAACTGCTCTCACAGCAGTGGCTCATTCCTATTAAACAAAAACAGCAATACATGTCTTGGATTACTTAATCTCAAAACAGAAAAAATTACAGCTAGGTCAACTGTTTATGCTATACACATCAACAAAAGAACTCACTTTTCAGTGAGTTCTTCACTTCACAAGAAAGGCTCATCAAGCCCTGACTAAACTTTAGGAGATACAAGAGGCATTTTTTTAGTATAGAACTACATTCATTAGCAAATAAAACCTATTTTTTTACCTTTTCAATTACACATTTTATGTTTTCTGAGCAATTAACATGTTGAAAGACAACTTGAAAAGCTGATTTTTCTGATAGCTTGGCATAACACAACATAGAAAAACTGAGAACCAAAACTGAATGCTTTTGATTGTGTTGCTCTTAATATCCAGAAATAAAAGCAGTTTCTGCTTTTTCATGCCATTCCATTCTCTAGAGAAATACAAAAGGCAGTAAATAAACTAATGTAACAATCGAATCAGAGAAATACCAACAAACTTATTCACAACAAACTAAATAGACTAAAGAAAACTAAGAGTGATAAATTTCTACCCCATTTTTAGTGTATTCTTATTCTGTTGGTATAGAGAATCCACACACTTCCTTACTTTCTCTTTATTCTCATTCTCACTCTTCATAGTAAAAATTATGAAGAAACAGAATCTGCTGGACTCCTAGTTCGTATCAGACTTGGGATGGGAGTCCGTTGCTGGAATTTGGAAGAATGCCTCTGATTGGCAAAAAAGGAAAACACAGAGTGATCAAGTCCTAATCATTTCTCCTAGAAATGCTGATGCACTGATCAATGGCTCATTGAAATTCTCAACATGTACTTACTGCCAGGGACCTAAGAGATACTGGATCAAACACAAGCTTTTCGCCAAGAGGGAGATGTTGACTTTCAATATGTAGTTCCCTCATTTCTTCCATTTTATCCAAACCCTCCACTACAGTGATGGAATTGCCTCCCAGATACCTGCGGAATAGAAATAGAAACAGATTTAATATCCTTTGAAAGTAAGAGCAAACACAGGGCCTCAATGTATTAAGAAACATATTTTTCAAGTATTATTGACTAATACCTGGAAATTACACCAGAAAAAGTAAATAACCTAGCATGCATGTGGAACATGCAGTTAACTGATCCAAGGTTTTTTTACTGGTTTTATTTATTGCCATTATTATTATTAAATGACTGAAAAATAAAATCATTTAAATACAAATATATGTATTAAGATGACACGTCATGACTCATATCATAGAACGCTTCATCAGAAAAATAATAAGCAATTGCCTTTATTTGAAAACCAAAATTTAAGAGCTGAAAGGACCTTAATGGCTGCATAATTTTTAATTTCTTAGTGGAATAACTATTCTTTTTACTGGTAAAAGAAATACATTACTTTCAACTTACAGTTTTTCAAGCTTTTTCAGTGATGAAAGATTTTCTATGCTTGAAATGCAGTTGTTCTGAAGGTAAAGGTGTGTTATATTTGAAGCAAAGTCCAAGTTCTGGATTTGTCTGATTTGGTTATCATACAAATATAGAACTCTCAGATTTTTACACGAAGAGAGGTGACCCTGAAATAAACGATCACAAGTTAATGCTACATGACATTCACTCACTGCCTGCTTCTGGAAGTTATTGATTGCTCTCATATTTAAGTTCTGCTGCACGATCTATAATTTTTCACCTCTACCAAACACTTTTAACAACTATTTTTTCCTAGAAAAACTGAGTTGGTGTCAGTAATCATCAGATTTATGACTGAAATCTGTTGTTACTGTTCTGCCATGCAGAAGCTGAAGACTACAGCCATCAGCAGCAGGTACAGCACATCCTGTGTGACTTCATTCCTTCCCCTGCCTTCATCAGGTGGATTTCAGAAAAGCATATTTGTTACTGTCGTTGTCTCCATCAGACCTCACTGATGTAATGGAAACCAGTTCTCAGCAAAGGAATACTGATTTATACAAAACCTTGCACTTCAATGTATTTTAATACCCATCTGAGCCCAAGTTTGCACTCAAATGTCAAGTTTCCTTGAATGTATTCTGTTAAACAACTAAAAGGTCACACATTCTTATGAGGGTTTCTGTAAAACTTCCCTGTGGCACCTGATGAGCAAGTCCTCATCAAATGGAATGGTCAAATTAGTAACTCATTATAGCTGCACACATTCCTAGGACTGGGCTAAATAAACCCATTTGCTTGCAGGGATCTGTTCCCACAGAACAAATTATTTCACCCCCTTGACTGAAATCAGACTTTTAAAGTAGAAATCCACCATACACAACGACACGGTTGCTCAGGGTTCAGTAGTTTCAAAATGTGCTCAGTATCTTGAGGGGATTTGAATTAGCTCAGGACTTACTGAAACCTGTATAAATTTCCTATTATTAAACTGAGAGGAAGGAGGACTGGGCTAGGTTTGCAGGTTTAGTCTTTGAAAATGAAAAGCTCATGGATTAGTTTTTAAATTAGTACATCCCGGGGGCAATTAAAAAAAAAAGTAGATTTTTAACCTGACGAATTTGAAAAAGCCACTACACTAGTCCAAATTTGTTAACCTCACTTGGGTTATATCCTGTTCCTGAACTCCCCTTTCCTTTCTCAGACTTCCTCTGAAATCTAAGGAATAAATCACAGATAGATTGAAAAGATTGTGCTGCGAGTTAACAACTCTAAAATTCCCATGACTGGAAAAAAATGGCATAATGAAAGTAAATGTTGCACTTAATAGTATGTAATATCATTACTACTTCCTTTGAAAAAAATGTGATCTGCAAAATCACTAGTTCCTTACATCTTCTATTCCACAGTTTGCATTTTTATAAAGGTAACCATCAATAAATAGCAGCTGTACACAATAATAAAATAGCAAATTGTTTTGGCTTTTTTTTGGAACTGGATATTTATATAATAGCTCTATGGAATACAGCAAAAATACTTCGTTTTTACACTTCAATTCATCTCTCTTGCATAATTGTTTTCATGGATTTCCTATATTAATTAATTAATGGGAAAACTAGTAAGTGTCCTGATAATATTCTTCATGTCTGCTACTCAGATCATATGTATTTCCACAGTTTCAGGTAAGTAAAACACTTCAACAAGATTTTTGCCACATAAAGAAAAGTATTAGGTCAATAATAAGAAAACCTGCAGACTACCAGAGTTATAGTCACTCACTTTGATGTTTTATATTAAAAGTTACAGCTGAAAGTTTATTTTCACATTTCAAATGTCACACATTTAAAACCCATGTAAACATTTTACATACAAGAGTGTTCCACACAGAAGAGCAGTGAATGCTGAAGCATGTCTCCAAACAGATGCATTATTAAGCTTCATTGCAATCCAATATAAATGTTAACACATACTATAGCTGTTATAAAATAGAAACTTGGCTTTGCTTGTCTCCCCAACTACAAGCAACTCATTGTAACAGTAACTACAAAACATTTGAGTAGCCAGGTTAAAAAAAAAAATAAAAGCTTACAATTTTGTGTATATTTTTGTCTGATAAATTCAGATGAGTTAGTTTTTGCAGATGCTGTCCAAAGTCTTCTTCACTGCAGTTCTTGTGACTGACATGTTTAGCAACTAAATCCATTGTTAGTCGAACCATCATTCTGTAATAGGCCAAGCTGCTCTCCTGCTTCTAATAGTGTGTTCCACGTGCTCTTATGAGCAGTTTTATAGAATGCCTTAAAAACCAAAAAATAAAGTATTATACTACTTATATCCCAGGTCTTCAGCAAAGCTTCAAATCTGATGTTTCCTTGCGAATTCCCTTTGGCTTAAAGTGACACATTTATGTATAGACTCTGCTGCTTATAACAACCTATGCCTTTTTTCTGATTTTTTCAAATTTTTAGTGCATTAAATAACATTTAAAATAGATCGTTATGCTTGATGTGTTGTTTCAGTTTGCTTAAGGAGGTTGTACCCTGGTCTTTTTCATACAGAAATATAATTCTCATGCATAACTAGCTAATTAAAGGAAGCTTATAATCTAATTATTAGTTAGAAAATACAGGACTGTAGGGCAGATTTTACAGTCTGTGAGAGGTGGTATTAAGCTACAATACTCTTCATACATCTGCACAGCACTTTTGTCATGCACACAGCTGCACGTGCATTTGCTCTGCACAGTGAAAAACTGAGGTTTTGCATACTGAATAGACTCTCACAACAATGCTCACTTTTTTTTTTTCCAAATTGTGGCTCATAGAGGTGAGTTTATAAATCAGGGAATGGGGGAGAGGGAAGAAGGCAAGACACTAATCTCAAACTGGATGTCTAAGTGTTCTGGGGATAAAAATGGCCTAATATAATTTAATGAGTCCAAGTAACAGGTTTAGCCAGTACATAATCCAATGTACTGTACATATCTTAGCTCATACACAATATCCCCACATTAGTGTATCAGAACAATTGAGGAGACAGCAAAAAGCATCCCTCATGCAGCCACCAAGGCAGGGAGAATCCTTACATTTAGGAGAAACGGAGGAAAAGCCAAGACTGAAACTGTGAAAGCAGAAAGAACTTCCTTACTCACTAAACAAAGCTAAGCTCAGTAGCTCCCCTTAGCCATACACGTTTTGCTTTTGACTTTCGTTTCAGAAGGTGAGGGGATGAAGGAAAGCAGAAAGAACATTGCGGTTTGGGGACGGGGGTTGTTTTACTGAATGTTTCTTTCTTGCTTTTTAAATAAAAATACCTTTCAGAGCCCTTTCTCAGACCTTGCTCCGAACGGACACCGCGCACGGCCCAAGGCGCGGCGAGCGCCGGGACAGACCCCAGCACGGCCGGAGGGAATACCGCCGGGAATGCGGCGGGAATACCGCTGGGAATGCTGCTGGGAATATCGCTGGGAATGC